CATATAGGCAAAAATAGCTGGGTCTGAGAAAGGAAGAGGGAAGTAATAAAATAGATAAATAGTTTTTTTTATAGGAAATGGCTAGCCAGAAAGGAAGAGAGGAATGGAGAACAGGAAAAGAACTTATTTTTTAAAATGGGGACATAAATATATCTGAGTTTAAAATAACCATAAGAAAATATTTTTTCTTATTCTTATTGTATAAGTCAGCGGTTCTCAACCTATGGGTCGCGACCCCATTTGGGGTCGATCGACCATTTTTCTGGGGTCGCCAAAGGCGGCGATCCACCATTTTTCTCGGCGCCGTGCACGCGCGCCGTGCATGGGGGCGCTGCGCATGCGCACAGCGCACGTGCGCGGTGCCGTGCCCGCGCGCTGCGCGTGGGGGCGCCGTGCACGCACGCCATGCACGGCGCCGTGCACGCACGCTGCGCGTGGGGGCGCCGTGCACGCACGCCGTGTGCGGGGGTGGCGGCGCACATGTGCGTTGCGCATGGGGGCGCCGCCGCGCATGCGCACCGCGCATGCGCGGAACGTTTGTGTGACGGGGGTCGCCGTCACACAAACGTTGAGAAGCACTGGTATAAGTGAATATGATTTAGTATGTTATCAGGAAATGTGTATAGGCGGACGGAAAGAGTGTAACCTCATACTACCTCAGCCAATGGGGAAAGAGGAGGGCTGTAGCAGCCGGTGATAGGGATGAATAAAAGAAGGAGATATTTTGGGTTAAAACTTTGGAGAGAATCAAGCTTTGATAGCTTCTCTCCCCGCTTATTGCAATAAACGAAACAAAAGACCTTCACTGTGTCTTGGCTGGTTATTGGTCAGGCGAGCTTGCCTCTGGTCACGAAGGAAAGTAGCCAGGAGCACATAACACTTTGAACTGATTTCAATGGCATAAGGTTGCTCCACTTGATGATTTAAAAAACAAAAGTACCGCTGTTGCAAGCAGGCGCCGTTACAGTTACGTTTTTGTGTTTTTTATTTTAAAAGGGTAGACAGCAATTAACCAACTATTTTCAAGATCTGGTTTACGGTGATGTTTATTCCTAGAGTTTAGTACGCTAAGTTTTAAGATGTAATCTATGTTTATAGTTATTGCTAACTTTACGTTGGGTACGTTTGTTTCTAAGTTATTTTATATCTACGCAGCTTTTGTTTCTTCTACCATCAAAGTGCTTCATAAAACGCTAATGTTGTAATCTACAAACCACATTAATGCAATTGAAATCGCTCTTAAAATTACACAAGAGGATTGCTCAGAAATCAAAAGCTCGGCCAAAGAGATGCATTCTTACCTTGTCCCTAAATGCCCGGAAAGAGGGGCCAGTGAGCATCACCTGAAGATTCTGCCGGACGGCCTGCCAGGCGTGCCAGAAAAGGCCCTTTCCGGTAGACTGCCAAGCTCTGCTAGTGGGAAGGCCCTTGGAGAGGTCCCTCCCGCTATTTCCCACCAAAACTGCAATATTGAGAGGAGTGGTGGCGATCGCAACCTCCCACCCTGTTTCCCGCTTCCTCTTGGGGTTTTTTACTGGGCTCCCAACCTTACTCCATTTCCATCCCTGTCTCTTTAAAAGGAAAAGCCTTAACTTCACTGAAAGTGGCAAAAAAGGGGGGGGGAAGCCTCAAGGACAACTTACCTGTTTCCCCCCAGTTCCTTCTTAACAGCCACAGCAAGGGGGGGGTCACCCATCCGGCGGAGGCTCTAGGCTGGAAATCCAGGGAGCGTGACCTCCTTTCTCCACTGCCTTTTCCAAAAAGGTTGAAGCTTTCAGCCGGCAGACGTCCCCACCCTTCCTCCTGGACGCTATATCAATAGATGCAGCTGTGACTGGGGGAAGTTAGCAAAATTGTAAGCCGGACTCTGCAAAGACCCGGGTCTCCTGCTGCCCCCAGAGAGAGCTGCTTTTCCTTTCTGTTACCTCTGGGCGGTGGGTGGGCTGTTTACGGCAACCTGGAGAGGAAAGGAAGGAATCTCCTATCCTTCCTAACCCTGACTTGCTTTGGACGAAGGTCTACAAAGTTAGATGGACGGCGAACAAATTAATAAATGCCATTAGTTGCAACTTCTCACGTCTCATCCCTTTTATCCATCCTTTAAATCAGTGGTTCTCAACCTGTGGGTCGGGACCCCATTTGGGGTCGAACGACCATTTCACGGGGGTCGCCAAACAACACAGTCCGCCATTTTCTTTCCCCCTTTTCCTTAGCTGTGCTACTCCCTTTTATTCTATTGGCTTTTGAAAGCCAATAGAATAGACTCTCTTGAATAGAGTAATTCTATTGGCTTTCAAAAGCCAATAGGAATTGTCCAGGCTGTCTCTGCCCTGCTGAGCCTGCCAAAAGTCCCATTCTGCAAATGGTGCTGCACCAATTGAGTAGTCCTCGACTTATGACCGGTTGAGTAGTCCTCGACTCAATATATGTTTATCATACAATGTTGAAAGAGAACAGTCTAGCTGACGGGTCGGCAACCCGCGGCTCTGGAGCCGCATTCGGTTGTTTCAGCCGTCTCCTGCGACTCCCTGTCCTCAGCCACTATGTGCAGTCTGGAAAAAAAAGTGGGCCTAAAAAAGTTCAACCAATCAATTCAAACTTCTCATGAATTAATTGGTTGAACTTCTTTGGTTTGTGGGACTGCCCACAAATCTCTTTCTTTCTTCGTACTGCACATGGTGGCTGGGAGGATTGCTGGAAAAGTGTCCCTGGTAAGGAGCCGCGGGTGGCCAGTCTCGGGGTGCCTCTTTCCTGCCCAGCAGGTCTCCCCTCGCCCTGCTCCGCCGCTGCCTCTGTTAGTCAGGGGGGTTGCCGGGGGTCTTCCGGAGCTTCCCCTCTCCGCCTGCGCCTTTTGGCTGTCTCACGGGCACCGGATTCCCCGTGGCACCTGCCTGGCCCTTTTCCCACCTGCTGCGCGGTCCTCTAGGCTGTCCTCCTGCTACTGCTGCTGCCGGTCACGCTGAGTGAGGCAGTGACGAGCAGGCAGCCACTCCACTTCGCCGTCCTCCCGCTGCCGCCGCCAGTGGTGCTGCAGGAAAAGGAGACCTTGGGCTGCGAGGGCGGTGGGGCCGGCAGCAGGCCGGGACATCCCCACGGCGGCATTGCCTGTTGCCGGCGCAGCCGCCCATGGTGTACCCGGCCTTGGCGCCCTCCTTTTACAATGGCAAAGTGGCTGAGGACGTGGCGGGGGTGGCAGCTGGGCCACGCTGCCGCCACCGGAGCCGCTGCCTCCCGTCCTGCTCCCCCTCCCCGCCCATTCGGCTGAGGACGTGGCGGCCGCACCGCTGCCACTAGAGCCGCTGCCTCCCGTCCTGCTCCCCCTCCCTGCCCGTTCAGCTTAGAACGCAGCGGCCAGTCCGCACCACCATCAACCGGAGCTGCTGCCTCCTATCATGCTCCCCCTCCCCGCCCGTTCGGCTGAGGATGTGGCGGGTGCGGCGGCCGGGCTGCACCTCCGCCACCAAAGCCGCTGCCTCCCATCCTGCTCCCCCTCCCCACCCAATCGGCTGAGGATGCGGCGGCTGGGCTGTGCCACTACCACCGGAGCTGCTGCCTCCCATCCTGCTCCTCCTCCCTGCCCATTCGGCTTAGAACGCGGCAGCTGGGCCAGGCCACTACCACCGGAGCCACTGCCTCCCATCCTGCTTTCCCTCCCCACCCATTCAGCTGAGGATGTGGCGGTGGTAGCGGCTGGGCCGCGCCACTGCCACCAGAGCCTCTGCCTCCCATCCTGCTCCCCCTCCACGCCCGTTCAGCTTAGAACGCGGCGGCTGGGCTGCACCACCACCACCAAAGCCACTGCCTCCCGTCCTGCTCCCCGTCCCCACCCGTTTGGCTGAGAATGCGGCGGCCGTACCATGCCACCACCACCTCCCATCCTGCTCCCCCTCCTCACCCATACGTTGTATAAATTGGAGTTTTGTGCCACAGGCACTTTGCTAAATTCATTGTTAGCTATAATCTTTGGAAATTCCCAGTTCACCAGGGTAATTTCATTGCCATTAAGACACTGTGCTCCTGCACAAAAGATTAATGGCATAAGGGAGCTTTATTGGTGTTCTTCCTCATGTCTTCTCTAAACATACTATATATCTGGGAAGGAAATCTTTGATCCTCCAGATAGGATTGAACTACAACTCCCAGAGTCCTATCAGCAGGTATTATAGTTCAGCAACACCCAAGTCAGTTCCTCAGCTCACTTTTCAGTGCAGGACTATATTGCTTACAAACATCACACTGTCCTCTAAGATTACCAGAAGATGGATCTAGTTTGTGCCCCTTCTTTTCATGTTACTGTGTCAGCCATATAAGACAACATCATATAGATCAGGATTACTTTTACAGAGAGAGAGAGAAAGAGAGAGGAAAGAGAAAGAGTGAGAAGAGAGAGAGAGGAAAGAGAGAAAGAGAGGAAAGAGAGAGGAGAGAGAGGAAAGAGAGAAAGAGGGAAGAGAGAGAGAGAGAAAAGAGAGAGAAAGAGAGGGAGAGGAAAGAGAGAGAGAAAGAGAGAAAAGGGAGGGAGAGAGGAAAGAGAAAGAAAAGAGAGTCAGAGACCCTTTTGACATCTAAAATGAAGATAACACTGCATATATCCTTTTTTACCTTTATTTTATATATACACACACAAGCACACACACACACACACACACATACATACATACATACATTAAAGGTAAAAAAGGATATATGCAGTGTTATCTTCATTTTAGATATCAAAAGGGTTTTGCGGTGTTTTGTTTTCGGTGGGAAACGGGTCCAAGTGGCTCTTTGAGTGTTTTGGGTTGCCTACCCCTGCCCTATCCCCTAACCCTAACCCTTAAACCCAACCCAAACTACCCCTTAACCATAACACTAGCCTTCACCCTGACCCTAAGCCTTAAACCTAACCACTTTTTTCAGCGCTTTTGCCAATATCTCAGCACGCTACATTTGTTTGAAAAATTTTATTGTCACCACATAAATTGTAACTACATTATATGCAATGTTTTCCTGTTAATTAGCAAATTGCAGCTCATAATATTCCTTCTGATTTTTTTTTTTTTTTTTTTTTTTGTCCTTACAAACATTTTCTCACAAAAATATTTATTTTGGAAGGCAGCCAAAAAATAGTAAGGGCAGGGTTTGGGATTCAGTCATTCTGCCTCATCCGAGGACCTTCCTTTTCCTCCCGTCAAACAAGAGCCTGGGTGGGACTGCCAGATGAGGCCACAAGTGGTTCCAAAATTAAAAGCCTCATATATCTATTCTGCCCTTTCCACTTAAAAGGGTTTTGAATAAGAGAAATAATTTGGACAGCATCTATCCTTTCCCTATACATTCCCAGCATACTCAGCAGAGCAACCCCACAAGAAGAGCCTCACGTAGGAGGGAGAGAAAGGAGAAGCGGTGGCCCGTCATGGCCTTGGGCAGCTCAGCCCGGGAACCAGGGAAAGGCGGATAAGCGCCACTGCCTTGAGTCTCCTTAGCTCGCTCATTTCCAGTCCGTTCCTGGTATAAGCACCAAGTTCACACCTGTGTAGCAATGATAAACGTCTCCATTCCTCTCATGCAGTGGGAACAAGGCAGACTGTAGGGTTGAGGGACAGAATTTCTCTGCTCACTGCTCTGTGCCAACCATTGTGGTTTCTCCAGAAGACGAGGCCTTGCTGGCAATCAACCTGGGCAGCCCCAGAGGCCGCTGGGGGCTCTCTGGCTGACAACAGGTGCACTTCCACCAGCCGGATTGCCGGGCAAATCGCTCGGCCGCAAAGTAATAAACCAGTGGGTCCAGGCAGGCATTGAGGCTGGTCAGTGCCATAGTGATGCGACGAGCCACATAGGTGGTGCGGATGAGGGTGCAGTCACCCAGGACCCCCACACGGCCTAACGTGTGAACCAGCTGCACGATGTGATACGGTGCAAAGCAGACCAGGAAAACGCCAAGGACCACCATCACCGTCCGCAGGGCTTTGCGTTTGGCTGCTCGGGAACTTGCCTGCAACCCAGGGGAAGTCAGGAGACGCCAGGCGATCAGAGGGTAGCAGATGCCGATCAGAAGAAGAGGCAGCAGGAAGCCAACCACAGCAGCAAAGATGCTGACGCCCGAGATGCGCCCCTTCCAGGAACTGGAGGAGAAGTTCTCCAGGCATGCGGTGCGGCCATCAGCAAAGGAGCTGGTCAGGGGCCCACGGAGGGCCAGGAACAGGATGGCCGCAATAAGGATCAGCCACACCCCCAAAGCAGCCCCCAGGCGGTAGCGCAGCTGCCGGAACTGGAGGTGCTTCAGCGGATGGACCACCGCCACGTAGCGCTCGAGGCAGATGCAGGCCAGGAAGAGGGAGCTGCCATAGAGGTTGGCAAAGAAGAGGCAGCCGGTGATTTTGCAGAGGGCTTCGCCAAAGGTCCAGTTGTTATGGCGGGCATGGTAAGCGATGCGGATGGGCAAGGTGAGCACAAAGAGCAGGTCAAGGGTGGCCAAGTTCACCAGGAAGACATTGGCCGGGGCAGTGGCCGACCTGGTCTGGAGGAAGTAGCCCAATACAAAGAGATTCCCTCCCAGGCCGAGGAGGAAGACCAAAGTATAAACTACAGGGAAGAGGATGTACTGGAAGTCTGCCCTCTCCAAGCAGGGAGACGTGTTATTGGAAGGCAGCTCCGAGTGGTTCCATGGCGGCAACTGGAACAGAAAGAAAAGCATTGAGTGTACATTTTCCAAAGCGCCTGAAGGCAGGACAAGAAGCAACGGATGGAAACTAATCAAGGAGAGAAGCAACCTGAAACTAAGGAGGAACTTCCTGACAGTGAGAACAATTAACCAGTGGAACAACCTGCCTCCAGAAGCGGTGAAGACTGGACAGCCATTTGACTGAAATGGTATAGGGTTTCCTGCCTGAGCAGGGGGTTGGACTAGATGACCTCCAAGGTCCCTTCCACCACCACCACCACCATCATCATCATCATCATCATCATCATTATTATTATTGTTACATTGTATTTCCTCCAACTTAGAACACTTTCCAAGACTGGGCTCCAGTACCTGAAATGAGGCATTGGTGGCGGCAAAATCTGAGGAAGGGAGAAATGCAGCAACAGCAGCAGCAACAGAGACACTGCAAGCTAGAGAGCTCTCTGATCCCTGAAGCTGAGTGGCCAGCTGAGAGGAGCAGACCAGACAGCAGAGCTGAGTCCACGGGAAAGCTGAATGGCAGGCCTCACCAGAGCAGAGACGAGCCCTGAAAGACAGAAGAGAGCTGGCAGAGAAAACAACAAGAGGCCGGAGCAGCGAAAAAGGGAAGTGAAGGCAACAATCAAGTTTGGGGTCCCAATAGAAAAGAAAAAAATAAATAAAAAGGAATTGGAGCTCAAAAACTTTTTAAAAAATAGCGGGAAGAAAAGGATAAATAAAACTATCATAATAGTAAGAAGGTTAAATAAAGAACAAGGCAGAAAAACGAGCACAAACAGGCAGAAAAAAGGATAGGGAATAAAATAGGCACAATTACCTAGAACAGAGAAGAAGAAATAAGGCAAAACACATCCATCAACCAAAAAGAGGGATTTTCAAACAACAAACTCATGGAACAGGTGACATACTATTGAGGAAAGAGAGTTTATAATCCAATTCTGTCTTTCAATCTCAACTCCAATAATTATCCAAAGGTCCAACATTATCAAACAGCTCCAATTTGTAATCCAAAAGGTCTGTTACGTAAAATTAATAATCCACAAGGCCTCCCCCAAAGGGAGTTGCCAAGAGTCAGATTTTTTTTCTGTTTCTAGATAGCTCTTGAAGATTATGATCTATAATCCTAAAGTTCCCCATAAAAATAAAAGGGGAAGAAAAAATTTATAATCCACTTTTCTGTTTCAGCACCAACTCCAAGCAGTTGTCCAATAAACCAAGATCATCAGTCAGCCCAAAATTATAATCTTCAAGGCCCCACTATTCCAAGTTAATAATCCATAAGGCCTCTTTCAAAGAGAACAACCAAATGTCATTTTTCTGTCTCTGAATAGTTCTTAATATTGCAGCTCAAGCGAAGTTTATAATCCAGGAAAGCCAGCTGGCTTCAAAGTAGTTTATATTTATAACCCATCCAGCAGAAAAACAGCCCCAAGAGTTCCTCTTCTTTCCCACCTGTAACCTACAAGGCTGAGGAGTTCAGGCACATCAACCAGCCTAGCTTGCTATCTCTGTCTAGGCTTCAAGCCAAGGTCATTCTTTCCAAACAAGGTACAGAGGGAAAAAAAGAAAAGTATTAGTGTTGTTCTTCTTTTCTACCACTAGATGTCATTAAAGATCTATCTTTCAACCAGGACTTATTTCTCAAGAGCTCAGTCAGATATTTTTTCAAGCAAATAAAGTTTCCAAGATATTTCCAAGATATTAAGTCTCCCAAATTTTTCAGTGTTAAACTTTAAATTATTTCTATTTTAGTTTTATAGTCTATTTTTCTCCACGAGATGTAAATCACCGCTATTCTTCTAGTGGGAGGGGCATCAAGACCCCCCCCCCACAAACACGCTCTTGCTTCTGGGAGCTTTGCCTTTTGGGGTTCTTTTTTCCAGGGAATTTTTTTTTTAAAGTAGAGCAGGAAAAAAAAAACAACCTCTCACCCAGTTCCAACGTGTTGCTTAATTTTGGTAGTTGGTGCTTTTCCCCTGGCTGTTGGTAGCTTCCGACTGGCTGCCGAGCTGCAGCCAATCTTTCACCAGCTGGTTTAGAGGGCTTCTTCAGATCAAACAAACTGACCACCATCAGTCCATGATCTACGAGGGTCCCTTCGTCGCCTCTCTGGGGCGACTTTAGGCACTTTTCAGGCCTCCAGCAGGGCGAAGTCAAACATGGGAGGCAGAGCCCTGCTTTCCTGCATCCGTCTCACTATGACATGAAAACTGACACCAGGCCCAGATGGGCTACCCGCAGAATTTTATAAAAGCCTACAAGATATACTAAGCCCATTAATGCAAGAAGTATGTAATGAAGTATTAGTAGAGGCCAAACTATGAAATACATGGATAGAAGCCTATATCACTTTAATATCAAAAAAAGATTCAGACCTGACTCAGGTAAACAATTATAGACTAATATTGTTATTAAATGTGGATTACAAAATCTTTGCCTCAATAATAGCAGAAAGATTGAAGAGATTTTTGATTGAATTTATACATTCAGACCAAAATGGATTTTTACCAAAGAGAAAATAAAGAACAACCTAAGAATGATCTTAGATACCTTGGAATATTACGAAATGCATCCAGGGAAACAAATGGCATTAATCTTTTTAAATGCACAGAAAGCTTTTGATAATGTCAACTGGCAATTTATGGTACAACTATTAAACTATATGGATTTTGGAGAAAACTTTATGTATAATTAAAACAATTTACCATAGACAAATGGCTAAAGTAATTGTAAATGGAGATTTTACAGAGAATTTTAATATTAAAAAAAGTACAAGACAAGGGTGTCTACTATCTTCATTATTTAACTCTGGAAGTGCTGAATAGAAATGTTAGACAGCATCCAGAAATTAAAGGTATGGAGATAAAAGATGAAAAATATAAATTACAAGCATTCGTGGACAATTTGGTATTTATATTAGAAAATCCTTTGGAGACAAGCCTTAAATTTTTGACAAAGATTGAAGAATTTGGAGAAGTAGCAGGATTGAAAATAAACAGATAAGACTAAAGTGATAGTTAAAAATCTTACAGATAAACAAAAAAATCAACTGTCAGAAAAACAGATCTCCAGGTAGTTTGTTGTTGTTAGTTGCGATGTTGTGTCCGACCCATCGCGACCCCATGGACAACGTTCCTCCAGGCCTTCCTGTCCTCTACCATCTTCTGGAGTCCACTGAAGCTCACGCCTCCTGCTTCAGGGACTCCATCCAGCCCCCTCCTTCTCTGTCGTCCCCTTCTTTTCTTGCTCTCCATCTTTCCCAGCATTAGGCCCTTCTCCAGTGAATCCTTCCTTCTCATTAGGTGGCCAGAGTATTTAAGTTTAAGCCCAGATAGTTAAAAAAATTAAATACCTGGGGATATACTTAACAGCAAGGTGTGTGACATTAAAAGAAGATAACTATCTTAAACTATTAAAACAAATAAAATCAGATTTGGAAAGATGAAAAAAATTGCAGTTATCAATTTTCGGAAGAATAGCGATAGTGAAAATGAATATTTTACCAAAACTACTTTTCCTATTCCAAACAATACCTATAAAATTTTTTTTGATAACCTAAATGCATTGATTTTGAAATTTATCTGGCAAGGGAAAAAAAGCTAGAATAAGACTGAAATTGCTACAAGAAGCAAAACAAATGGAGGATTTGGGCTAGCAGACTGGGTTCTATATTATCAAGCAGCTGTATTAACATGGTTAAAAGAATGGATAGCCCTTAGACACAAAATACTACATGACCTACAACTTGGATGGCATGCTTTTCTATGGTATGGGAAGAACAAAATCCATAAATACTTTCAAAATCATTATATAAGAAATACCTTATTTCTGACATGGGAAAAGATAAAAATGAAAATCTATATGAAAATACCAGGATGGATCTCGACAATGGAACATTTGTGCACCCAAATTTAATCAACTATGAGAAACTTGTAACATACAGAGACATTTTGAATACTGATGGGAAATTACAAACGGAACAAGAATTGGAAGAACAGGGTATTGAGCTAATGATAGCCACGCTTGCAAATGCAAGTGAGATATAAAAAAGATCAAACAGTCTTTGACCAGATACTATTGTCACCAGATGAAAAATTGATTTAAAAACTCCATAAATTTTTGTTAACTCTAAAGATGGAAGATGAACAAGTTAAAGAAACAATGATAACTTGGGCAAAAAAATTTGGGCACAATGTAGAATGAGAAAAATGGCAAAATTTGTGGGAAAGAAACTATAAAATAACAAGGGCAGCTACTTATAAAGAAAACGTATATAAAATGTTTTATAGATGGCATTTACCGCCTGCAAGATTAGCAAAAATGTTTAAAAATATGTCTAGTAACTGTTGGAAATGTAGGCAAAAGCCAGGCATGTGCTATCATCGGGCCCTAAAGCAAAAAAAAAAAAAGGTCAAAAATACACATTTGGTTACAGAAAATGTTAAGAAAACATAGATTTTAAGCCAGAACTATTTCTTTTAGGTATAATTACAGAGAACTATGACAAAAAATGTATATATTTAATATTTGCATTAACAGCAGCGAGAATTACATTTGCACAGTATTGGAAAAACTAAGAAACACCATCAGATGAAGATATAATAAGGAAAAGTTGGGATTGTGTGGAAATGGATAAGCTTACATTGAAAATATATATACATTGCTTACTGGTGTACACTGCTTAGAGAGTGCTTGCACTTAAAGCGGTATATAAGTCTCATAAATAAATAAATAAATAAAATGAAAGGGAAAGAAGATACAGAGTATTTTCAAACATGGGATAATTTTTATAAAGGGCTAGAAAAGCGGAATCGAGAGTAGAAATGGAAGTTGTATTACTATCAATGTTAAATATGTGAACCCAGACAACACGTTGTTTATTAAGCACTAAAGATTTGTAACTATAAAAACTTAATCAAATATCTATTAAAGAAAAGCTGCCCAGTATGGTCCCTGCTGTCCCGAGGGGCATCCCATCCCGCAAGAGGCAACGGCTTGACGAGGGGCGGGGCGGTAATCCAGCTTACATCTTCTGTTTCTGATGAATGTGATGCAAGAGCCCCTTGGCCAAAGCTACGCAGTGGGCAGATGGGGCTTTGTAGGCCTTTGTGGAACACTTGAGATGAAAGGAAGGAATGAAGAATATAACGGAACAAGCCAGATTAGGGAGGAAGAGGAGGAGGAACAGCGGTCTTTGGGAAGAAAGACCACGTATGTACTGAAATCTACGGATCTGAGCACAAGAACATCCAAGGCAGGGAAGAAACAAATTGGTTAATTGTGGCCATGTGCTACGGGACCCGATTACAAAACTCCCAGGGAGGAGAGGCTTAGCCCAAATGGGAAACTCCAGTTCTTGGGACCTTTGCTGGACAATAGGGCCAGGTCTCCCTCCGTGCTCCTGCTGCCGGTTTCCCTTTCCAGAAGGCTGAAGAAGGAACGAGGGGTGGATTGGGGCCCCTGGCTCTGATTCGCTGCCTGGGATGGGAGAAAGAGATCAAGGTGCACACTGGGCTTCAGGACAGTCAGTTTCAGGAAGCTTCAAGAAGTCCTGGAGGAGACCCCATGGGTAAAAAAGAATCAGGAGGGATGGGAATTTCTCAAGCAGAAGGAAATAAAGTGCAATCACACGTCTTTCCAGGAGAAGAAAAACAGGACTCAGGCTAGAGACACATTCTGGATGCATCAGGAGCACTTAATTAAGTTACAAGTCAAGAGGAAGTTACGAGTTGCTTAAAAGTTGAAAGAAAAAATTAACAGGAAATGGAAGACGGATGCAATTTCCATGAAAGCAACTAGTCTCTAATATCTGCAGAGAGTTAGGAAAATTGAAGATTGCAAGAAAGCTAAAGTAACATTTACTCCCAGTTCCTGTAGCAAAAAGAAAACAAAGATAGATGGTTTTGCTACTGGTAGAAGATGGTAAAGGAGGGGGATGGTAAAGGTGGGCTGAGGGGGGTGGGCTGTTTCTTTGCGTGAATTTTGCTTCAGATCTTGCCTGACTGCATTCATTTCTTTCCTTGTAAAAGTACCTTTTCTCTCAGTCTATGGAGCCAAAGGTTTTTCTTTTCCAGGGATTGAACGGAGGCAGCCCTGACAGGTACTAAGGCTTCACATGACCTTCATTCTGTCCCTCTCCTAAGGCAATCTAGGTCTGCACTGGCTTTATTTGGCCGCTGCCGTACCCGGCTGGCTCTCATTTAAATGACCGTCCACTAGAGCTCCCAGATCTAACAGTTACTGCTATTGAGCCAGTTTCACCTAATCTGTACCTGTACATTTGATTTTTCTTGCCTAAGTGTAAAACCTTAATTTTCTCTACATTAAAATTCATTTTGTTGGATAGGGCCCATTATTTAAGTCTATCAAGATCTTTTTGGATCCTGAGCTTGTCTTCTGGGGTGTTGGTTATTCCTGCCATCTGCAAACTTGATGAGTTCCCCTTCAATTCCCTCATCTAAGTCATTGAAAAAGATATTGAAGAGTCCTGGGCCTAAGATGGAGCCTTGTGGCACCCCACTGCTTACCTCCCTCCGTATAGATTCAGTTCCATTAAGGACGACTTGTTGAGTACAGTTTGTCAGCCAGTTACAAATCCATCTGATGGTGATGCTGTCTAGTAGACTTTTTGACAAAGATTTTTCCAAAAATGTTCAGGTTGCTGCATTCTGGACTAATAATAGCTTTTTGGATATCCTTCAAGGGCTGCCCTGTGTAGTGCATATTGAAATAAACCAAACACGAGATGACCAGGGCATTAGTAATTGTGCACTGGGCCTCATGATCCAAAAAAAAAGGTACAATTGGTACAAAACACAAAGTTGTACAAACAGTTTCCTAGCCACGACAGCCACCCATTCCTCGAGCAGGCGTCAGGAGGTCTAGGAGTCTAGGCAAACTCCAAAAGGAGAATATAAAATAGAATAAGGTCCCAGAAGGCAGCATTTTAAATATTAAGCAAAAATCAAGAACACAGGGACATAACCTCAGACTGGCAGGAGAGAAGTTCAAAAGCCACATCAGAAAGGGTGACTTCACAGAAATAGTGGAAGCTTGGAACTAACTTCCTGACGTAACTGAGTTTAAACAGGTTTGGGATTTTCCTGCAGTTAGTTTCCTATGTTTCTAAGTAAGTTTGGCATTGGGTCTGTCCGGGGCAGTGCAGTCCCATCCAGGATTAAAGGTGAGAAATCTTTGGATCCCAAAACTCCACGTATTCACAGCCGTTCCACCTTGCCAGGATTCAGTTGAAGCCTGCTGTCCCCCATCCAGACCCCCCCCACAGCTCCCCACAGGCCCCATGAAAGGGCAGCCACAGCATCACCAGGGGTGGAGAGGCAGAGCTAAGCATCAGCAACAATACACACACACACACACACACACACATACACACACACACACACACACACACACACGCACGGTGTCCCATGGTGAAAAGCAGCAGAGAGCACTGCCCCCCCCCCCGTGCCCCACAGAGGAGTGGCCTTGGGATGGGCCTCTTGCCCCCTATCCACACCGACTGGAAATAGGCCAGTCCCAAATCCTGCAGACAGGCCAGAATGGCCGATGGCATCTAAAGCCACCGAGAGGTCAAGGAGAGAGAGGATGGACCGGCTCCTCTCATCAGGGATGATCAACAAGGGACGACCAAGGCAGGCACCCTGGCTGGCAGAGCTACAGGCAATCTATTTCATCCAGGATCTTCTGGAGCTGTCAAGCAATGGCTTCCACCACCAACCCCTCCTGACATGTTGTATTAGTCATTAATTAATAATTGTTACCATTATTATCCCTCTGATCAATGCCTCACTTTTTCTGACTCAGGCTAGAAATAAGATGCTTGTGAAGGGCAGGTCTCAACTGGTCCAGATCCAACTAGCCGGAAGAAAGGCCGGTCTTTGCCCTGCCAGCCGCTCTGCCTCCCATCCCAGCCACGTTACCCTCTGTGCCTGTGCAGCCCTTGCCAAAGGAGGTCCGGGGGTGGGGGGAACTGAAGAAGCGTCCTTCTCCTTGCATTACCCACAAAATGCAGTAGTTGTTTGGTAACAGACGGGCTTTGCAAGGAGAGCAGCCTGGATGAAAATGAGCAGGAAGGAGGCAAGGGGGGGGGGTAGACTTTGAACTCAGGGTGGGTCTTTGATAAGGAAGGCACAAGATTGTGCTTCTGCAGATACGACACTGTCATTCAGCTGGGTGAATTAAATCTGGGGACTCAGCAGCGATGCCAAGAGTTTGCAAGGCTTTGATGAAGCCCAGGTTTTGGGGGGGGAAACACAAACGGTTTGGGCTTCACCTGATAAAAGGGCCAGCCGCTGCCAGGGAAATGATAAGCAATGTTCAACTTTTGAAGCATCTCCTAAACTTGCAACCTTCCTGAGGAAATTATGGCTGCTGAGAGTCTCCCCCCCCCCAGGTACAGAAAAGCAGGGATCCTTAAGCTTGTCTAGCGGCTGCAGTGGCAGCAGGCACACCTCTTCCAAGTAGCCGGCAGACCCAGAGCCCAATGAATGGAAAAGGGCCAGGGCCTTCCTTGCCCCCTTCCCCCCAAGACTCTGAAGCTGTGAGTGCTCCTTTCCCCATTAAAGGCTAAACCACACAGGGGTGGGGTGGGGGTGCTGCTATAGAGCTTGACAGAAGCACAAAGCTGGGGGGGTCACGGAGGGAGGGCTGTTGCAAGAGGACAAGGGGGGAGGCAGGGGAACAACTTTTCTTCCCAGCTGTCCATCAAAAGTGGCTGGCAGAGACTAAGCCTGGCCTGAAACCCCCATTCCACCCTCTCTTCTTCTCCGAAAAAAAATGTGGGGTCCGAGCAGGCGACCCCCCATTGTTGCCACCCTCCTTCCCACCTGCGCATACCTGTGGGAGCTCCATGGAGGCTACTGCTTCTGTGGTGGGGGGCCGTGCCAGGACTGCCAGCTGCTCCCCTGGCCTGCTGTAACCTCTCCCCCAGGTCCCCCCCCCTCACACATTCCAGGAAGGCTCGTTTTGGACCTGCCCCCTTCCAGCTCCAGGAGGGGGAAAGCCCAAGCAGCTCCCCGGTCAGCCCTTCCCTGTTCTGGCTGCTGTCGGGGAGGGCAAAGGGAGAGCTTGGTCCCCGGGCCCTTCAGACTCTCCCACTCAAATGTCCGAGTCTGAGGCCGGGGTGGGGGACAGAGACCCACTCAGCAGCAGCACCCCCTTCCCATTCACTCTCCCCATACATCCCCACCCCATTCTGTTCCGGAAGCCAGAAATGCCCAGAATTGTGCAAGAGGTCCGTGTGCACTCAGAAATTTTCTCTTTGGGCTAAAAGAGGGAAGTCCCAAACCAGCAGCAGGCAGGAAAGAAGGAAGGAAGGAAGGAAAGAAGACACATCAGCAATATCGGCAGCACTGGCCTTTCCCCTCCCCATCTACCCCCCCCACCCCCTCCTTTGTGTTCCTTTGCTTCCCCTTCTCATGAATGCAACTTAGAACCCCTGATTGTTTTCAAACAAAACTGGGTAGAAAATGTCATACTCAAACTATGGATTTTAGGAAGGCAAATTTTCATAAACTAAGCAAAACAGTAAAAAAGATAGTCTGGGGAAAAAAACCTCAAGAGAGCAAAGGTTTTGTAGCCAGTTAAGACTTTTGGAAAAGGGAGTTAGGGGAAGCATCACATCAGATGATGTGTCAGTGAAGAAGAAAATCGTCTAAAGAAGGTAAAGTGGTCGGACAAGCAACTTCCCAGAAGGAAACTGGGACTAAGGAGAGATGCTTAATGAAAATGGGAGGGAGGCCCTACAAAAAAGACATCTGCAAAACCTCTGCCCAGGAGTGTCTGCATGGGGCCAGGGAGGCCAAGGTAGAAAATGAGCAAAGGTTGGCGAGAGAGGCAAACTTTAGGAAGACAAATTCCTAGTAAGAAAACGCCCACGGAGGCGACGCTACGGCTGATTTTATATGGCAACATTTGAGTAAGGGACCAGGAGAAAGCAGGAGGATCCAAATGCTGTTCTGTCTCTGTGGAAATGGTGATTTCGGGAACAGGGCAGGGAGGAAGAGAGGATGTGCAGCTCAGTAAAGGTGCGGCAAGGGCCTTCTTGCCCAGGCAGACGCTATCAAGCCCCCAGACCCCAAAGAAACCCACCCCGGAAGATGGAAGGAGCTGACGAAAGGGTCACTTTTACCCAGGCGAAATTGCTCGGATCCGTTCTGAGTTGGAGACCCAGCAGAGCGCAGATCCCCTGGAGGGGACAGGCTTGCCCCGTTATCTGAAAAGGGTTCAATCCTGACAGACCAGAAGTGGGCCAGGTTCTCGGGCATTTTAAGCGCAGCCAATCCTCCTGGCTGGTCCAGGTGACCCAGGAGGGGACCTGGGGCAAGTCCGAAGGACGGTGCATTCCCAGCACCCTTTTAAGAGTCGCAGCTACACCCCCTTCTCAAGAAGCCTCGCCTGTACCCACCCTGCCATTCTGGATAATTGTCACTCAGCCTCTCGCCTCCCCTTTCTAGGGAAGGGAGGTGCCTTGCAGCTCCACGGGATGAGATGGATTATCTGCATCCCTTCCAGACAGGTTTCAGACCCAGAAGCAGGAGAGTAGCAATACTGGTCAAACCTCTGGATGGCCTCTGGTGGGAATAGGAAGAAGGCAGTATCTCTATCCTGGTCCTTCTTCGTGGCTTCTCAGCAGCCTTCAATACCATCGACCATGTTTGGGGTTTTTTGGGGCTTTGGGAGCTGGGGGCAGGCGCCAGAGTTTTGTGCTGGTCCGCCTCCTTCCTCTGAGGCTGGTCTCGGTTGATGGGGAGCGAGAGGTGCTGCTTATGGCCCAAGCTCTTCTGGGGGCTGCAGAGGCCTCACTGCTCTCTCCGCTCCTTTCGAACATCTCCATGAAACCTCTGGGCAAGACCACCCCTAAGCCTCAGGAGGCAGAGGATACCCCACTGTGCACCTGTCCCCGGCGAACAAAGTGATGCGCTTGGAAGCTGGATGTGGTGGGTCAGGCTTCCCACTAAGATGGAGGTGGGGCCCTCTTGTGTTTCTGAACAGGATTGCACTGCCCCAGACGAATCAGGGGTGCGATCTGGGGGACTTCCTGGACTCACAACTCCCTCTTGGGGAGCAGGTGTCAGTTGTGGCTAGGAGGGCCTTTGCTCAGCTTCATGCTGTGTGTCAGTTATGCCCCTTCCTGGACCGAGAGGCTCTTCTTTCTGTCCTGCCCTGATCACCTCCTGTACAGATTGCTGCAATGTGGCTGCCCTTGAAGAGTATCCAGAACCTGCAGTTGGTGTCAGATGCAACAGCAGGAGCGGCTTTGGGCGCTCCCAGAGTGGTGAACTGTATACAGAATTCCTCTGCTATGCAAGCAGCCTTGGCGTCAGTACGCTTCCAGGTTCCCATTCAAAGTGTTGGTTATTACCTTTAAAGATCTTAATTTCATGGGACCAAGTGACCTGGGGTCTTATCTCTGTCTGACAAGACCTACCCCATCTGGTCAAACAAGGAGAGTTAAGTAGTGGACCCTGTTGTTTAAAGAATTTTGCTGGTGAAATCTGGGAAGAGAGCCTTCTCCGCTGCTGCCCCTGCTCTAGGGAACACCTTGCTTCCTATCTGACTCTAAAAACCAAGAATGACATAGGACAGTGTTTCTCAACCTTGACAATTTAAGGCATGTGGACTTCAACTCCCAGAATTCCACAGCCAGCATTGCTGGCTGTGGAATTCTGGGAGTTGAAGTCCACATGCCTTAAAATTGTCAAGGTTGAGAAACACTGACATAGAACATGGAATAACAGGATGGGAGGGGACCTTGGAGGTCTTCCAGTCCAATCCCTTGCTCAAGCAGGAGACCTGCTTATACTATTCTGGCCACACGGTCCTCTTCTTCAAACCCTCCAGTGATGGGGCATCCACAGTTTCTGGAGACAAGCTGTTCTCACCGACTCCTTGGTTCTAGGTTGGATAATTCTTTAATGATCCTCTACCGGTTACTTCTTATCCTGCCTTCAGGTGCTTTGGAGAATAGGTTGTGTTGAAAGAAAAATGTTCATCAAGGTCCAGTCCAAGCTGGGAATAAACAAAATGAAGACTGCTTTAGAAAGAAGTTTTCAGTTTGTTGAAGAGCAGAACCACAAGATATGAGGCTCTGGAGCAGCTGACCACATGTTGCTGGGAGTGGTGAGTTTTTATACCTTCTGGGGCTTTTGAGGTTGTTTCCTGTTCCTGTCTGAGGCTTTGTATTTCCTGTGCATGTACCTTGACCTGAGTCTGAGTGTGCCTTTTTGATATTGGTGGGTTAATCTTATTATGTTTCCTGTCTGTAGAGTCTTTCTAATCTCTTTAGTTTCTAGCTTCCTGGCTCCAATTTTTCTGAAAGGATGATTGAATTTGCATTTCTAAAAGCTGGCCTCGGCTAGTTTCTACTTGGGGTGTGTGTGTGTTAGTTTCTGTCTTTTTAAATATCTTCTCCATTATTCCTTTGGGGAAATATATTCTGCCTTTTTAATATCCCCCAAAATATTTCTCTTTCTGGATTCTTCCCACAGTTGATTCCCCCCTCTTCTCTGTGGCAGCCCCTCAAATATTGGAAGACTGCGATCATGTCACCCCTGGTCCTTCTCTTTGTTAGACTAGACATGCCTACTCCCCTCAACTGTTCATCATATGATTTAGCCTCCAGAGCCCTGATCATCTTTGTTGCTTTTCTCTGCACTCTTTCTAGGGATTTCAGCATCTTTTTTGTATCACGGTGACCAAAACTGGACAGTGTGGTCTCACCAGTGCAGTATAACTAGCAATACCACTTAGACTTATATACAGCTTCAATGCTTTGCAACCCTCTCAAAGCAGCTTACAGAGTCAGCATATTTGCCCCCAACAATCTGGGTCCTCATTTTACTGCCCTCAGAAGGACGAAAGCCTGAGTCAACTTGTGACACCAAGCTTTCGCTATGTCCCTGCACAACAGCTACAGTGCCCTTGCTGACCTTAATAGGGACATTAAGGAGACAGGTAAAGGTATTTGTGAAGATAACCCAAATAAGCAGGGGATTGTGGTCCGAGATGAAGAACTAGATTTCGACAGGGAGAAGTGTGAATCAGGTATTGCACATCAGTCATGCAAGAATAGAAAGGCACCCAAAAAGAGAAGCTACCTTCTGGTAGGTGATTCAATTATAAGGGATGTAAATTTAGGAAAGGACACAGAGGCTTTGAAAGAGGTCAGGTGTCTTCCAGGTGCTACTGCCAGTAGGGACAAGAAGCGTATTTCTAAAATAATCAAGAATGGCAGCAAGGACTGTGATGTGGAGGCTATTGTACATCTTGGCAGTAACGATCTGTCCCAAAAAGATGTACTCTGTGCAGAACGATTTCCAGAGCTTGGGGAAGGAACTTAGCAGAATAGGCTGTAGGCTTACTTTCTCAGAGGTTTTACCAGTGTATAAAGAGCAAAACGGAAAAGGCCAGCGCATAGCACAATTCAATATGTGGCTAAAGGAGAGGTGTAAAGGGGAAGGCTTTGGATATATTAGTCACGATGTCAGTAGCTGGTCCAATCAAAAGATGTACAAAAGAGATGGTTTGCATCCATCAAAAAAAGGGACTGAGTTACTCGGCTATAAATTCACAGATTTTCTGGAGGGAAATTTAAACTAAACAGCGGGGACAGGGAGTTAATTGATACGGAACAACCCTGTCCCCGGCAATTTAAAAATTATAGGGCTATCAGTGCATGTAGCATAGATGTGTGTGTGGACAAGAATACCAACCTTACTATCAAGCAAAATGAAGCCTCTAATAGCGAGTGCCACATAAAGTGCACTAACCAAATAGGTGGTAAGACAATAGGGGAATTCAGGCACCACACAGGTTATGTAGAAAGGAAACACAGGGCCACTCACAAAGGACTCAAATGTTTATACACCAATGCACAGAGTATGAACAGCAAACAGGGTGAACTAGAAATTCAGGTTAATGAGGGCAGATACGATATTGTTGCCATTACGGAAACATGGTGGGATGAAACCCACACATGGAACACACAGCTAGAGGGATTTAAATTATTTAAAAGAAACAGACCAAATAAAAGAGGAGGTGGAGTTGCTCTCTATATAAGAAATAACTACATCTCCACAGAAATAGAGCACAACAATGATAAAAACTGTCTTGAATGCATTTGGGTCAATATAAAAGGGGGGGAAATGACATTGCCATAGGTGTATACTACAGACCACCCAACCAAACAGAGGAAATAGATGAACTTTTTGCTAGTCAGCTAACTAAGGTATGTAGGAAGCACATCACAATAGTAATGGGGGACTTTAACTACCCTGACATCAACTGGGAGACAAACTC